GCGGCGCTGAGGGGGTGTGTTATGGCGGCGCTATGGAAGGCAGCACTCTTTTTTTTTTTTTTTGCTTGGGGCGGCAAAAAAGTTAGAGCCGGCCCTGTCTCTGAGGGTGAGAGTCTGTATTGAACACCTGAAAATGTGACACTCTATAGTATTGTGCAGGAAGTACAGCATCTTTAAACATCGAACTGAAGCTTAACTCTTTAATAGCACACACCAGGCCAGTATACCTCTTCTACAGGAGATATGAGCTAGCATGTGGAAACCTGCCTGGAAAGTTCTACTGATAACTAAACAATACCTACCTAAAACTGCTCAGAGGCGTGTATTCTCACCAGGAACAACATGTTTACTCAAAAATTGCTTAGTCAAGAAACTCTAAGTTAGGCTTATGGTATTTCAAAGAAGCATTAGGAAAGTGTCCAAGAAATTAGATCACCTCTGTCTTTGGATCCAGGTATCCACTAAATGCCTGATCTGTCTCAAACTGCTTAGGAGAAAATATATACTTTGGCACAGGACCATAACTGTGACATTTCAGTGGTTTGGTTGGGCCAGGAAGAGTGGTTTTTACAGAGAAGACATTGAATTGGGACTCAGGAGATTTAGTTTACATTCCCAGACTGTGTGACCCTGGGCAAAACATTTAATTTCCTGGGTAAAATGGGAATAAAGCACTTCCTTTCTCCTGTCCTTTGTGTCTTATCTTTTTAGATTCTAAGGAATCATCCAGTTGAGGCCTTCACAGCTAAGGTCCTATATATTCCATGTGGACATTAAAAATCCTGGAACTCTATTCATAAGAGTAGGAGTTTGGCTTTATGTCCTTGTCCAAAGTTTGCCCTCCCCACTCATGCTGCAAAGAGCTGTGGCAGAGGAATGTCAGGCACATCAAGGTGAAACAGTATAAGGAGTAGCTAGAGTGGTATGGGGACTAGAGGGATTGAAATGCATTTCCAGAGCCTCTGATACTTTTGTTGGGTGTGAGGAAAGGAAATAAAGGTCCTAGTGAAGGACATGCTACCAAGCTAGCTATGATAAAAACAAAAGAAACAGGTTGTGGCAAAAACCTCCTGTTGTATGGGGAAAATATCTGAATTGCCTTCTCTCCATTGTCCAAATATCAACCACCCTCTTCAATTTCCCTTGCAAGGAGGCAAACCCTGCTACCTTTCACACATGCTG